GGCACTAATTAGGGCGCTTTGATCATCTTTAGAAATGGCCACATTGGGGAGGGATGCTGCCAAGCAATTAGGGGCAGAGGAGCTGGGAGCTCAGGCACCTCCACAGGGGCTGGGGCTGCCCAGGACCCTCAGACAACCCCTGCCCACCTCCCCCAAGATTATCTGTCCCCAGCATTGCTGTGAACTCCTCAGGGAATCGAGGCAGATGGGAAACCCTCCATCTGAGCCTTGGAGACAGCGCCAGCCACTGCCCATCAGCCCCCCTCTGCCTGGCCCCCAGCCTAACCGTCAGCTCTTCTGGGCTGTCCAGGCCCCTTTGATGGAGCCTAGAAACAAGGGCTCCTTTGAGGGAAGGGGCCTCAGAGCCTCAGAGCCGGATGACGAAACTTCAAAGGTGAGGGTTGAGCCCACTACCCTGTGCCCTCCCTCAGCCCTAGCCCCCCCTATGCACCTCCCCCATCTGTCCTCTATATACCCCCCTAAGCCCCATTCCTCTGTGGGCTCCGGGAGTTAAGGACCAGGTGAGGGATGACCAGGGAAATGGTAACTTTGATGTAAAAGAATAGGGTCAGATGACTTGAATTCAGTGCTCAGGGACAGAAAGGCAGGCACCACAGGATAAGCGCCTGGAGGGTGGACCCCGGGGGGGGGGGGGGGGGAATAGAACAGGGTCAGTGCCCCGGCTCCTGATCACCATGCTGCTGGCTATGCTGCTGCTGCTGCTGCCCCTCCCAGACCCATGGTCTGCCCATGGGCACCCGCTGTACATGCACCTGCCCCCCAGCACCCTGCAAGGTGAGCCCGGGGTGGTCTGAGGGAGCGGCCAAGGAGGGAGGAGCAGAGAGGAAGTGGGTCCCGGGCAGAGGAACATGAGCCTGCTACCTGAATTCACAAGGACCTTTGGCTTCTTCTGCCCACTGTGCAGGGAGAAGGGGCGAGGAACCCAGGTAGGAGAGGGAGGGGGAAGATGAGGATGGAAAGGGAAGGGGAGCCAACGAGGGTGTGCATCAGGGAAGTTTAGCAGGGAGGACAGAGCCTAGAGCATCCCCTTGGCTCTCTGGGCCTAAAGGTGGGCAATTCAACCATAGTCATTTTGTGTCAATACATCTGAGTTCTGTGATATCTGAATCTTCAGGATACTGTTTTTCCTTCAAGGTTTTTAAGGAAATGCCCTTTTCAAAGATTCCAGCCCAGCCCTAGCCAGTTTGGCTCAGTGGATGGAGCGTTGGCCTGTGGACCAAAGGGTCCCAGATTCGATGGTGGTCAAGGGCAGGTACCTTGGTTGCAGGCTCTTCCCTTGCCCGGGCCCTGGTCGGGGCTCATGCAGAAGGTAACCAATCGATGTGTTTCTCTCACATCGATATTTCTGTCTTTCCCTCTCTGTTCCACTCTCTCGAAAAATCAATGGAAAAATATGCTCAGGTGAGGATTAAAAAAAAAAAAAAGATTCCAGCCCAGTTGAATTACAGAGATATATTGGGCTGAGAATCCAGAACCATTGGCTCTGAGTGCTGGGCCCTGGGCCCTTGGGGCTCTGTCTCCTCCTATTCCACCCCAGCGCTCCGGGAGCCCAGCCTGCTTCCCTGTGGGTCTCCCAAGGCAGGGCTTGGAGCTGGGGCAAGGAGGACAAGCCCACAGCTCCTCCCCAACCAAGCATGACTGTGCCCCATGTCCCAGCAGCCTTGTCGGCCCAGGGGACAAAGGCATTGCAGGCCGCCCGGAGGAGCGCCCGGTGGGCCGTAAATCTAGTGGCGATGGAGATCCAGCATAGATTGCGTGAGTGCCAAAGTTGTGCCAACCGCACCATCCCCTGCACAGGTGAGCTTGCACCAACTACCTGGGACTGTTCTCCTGTCCACCCCACCCCCTCCCTTGACTTGACGCCTCTTGGAGAGGAGACTGAGTGGGGCTGCAACAGGACAAGGCTTATGAAGGTCTAAGAGGAAAGCGCATGCATGCCAGGCTTGGGGCACCCCTTGTGCAAGGGCAGGAGGGAAGGCACAGTGTGAGCTCATTTGGTGAAGAGTGAGTTTGTGGCTGCTGAGACAGGCACTGACTGCTATTGGGGGGGGGGGGAGGGGCCACAAAAGAAAGGGAGCCCAGGGGAGAGAGAGGGCTGGGCACAGCTTGGGGTAGAGGGAAGACCAGGAGGATGGCAGGAAAGCTCAAATGGTCTGTTTCTCAGCAGGACCTGGGCACCTCAGGCCTCAAGCCCCCCTGCTCCAAGACCCACCTGAGCCAGGTGAGGCTGAAAAAAGTTCCAAGGGGACAGGGCTGAGAGCAGGTCGGCCTCGATGGTGAGAACGCCAGGACTTGTCGGTCCATCTTTGCAGGGCCATGTGGCGAGAGGCGCCCGGGGAAGGTCAATGTGACGCAGGCCGCTGGCCGCATTGTAGGGGGCAGCGCAGCGCAGCCCGGGGCCTGGCCCTGGCTGGTGCGGCTGCGACGCAGCGGGCAGCCTCTGTGTGGCGGCGTCCTGGTGGCGGCGTCCTGGGTGCTCACGGCGGCTCACTGCTTCGCAGGGTACGTCCGGCCCCCAAGCCTCTGACCAGCCCGGGTCACCCCGGATCGTTGGGTGGGCGACACGCGCGAGGGCCGGTCTCTGCTGCTCCCTGGCGGCGGCGGCCCTGCTCCCCAGCTCCCGGCCTCAAGGCGCCCGCGACTCCCCGCCAGGGCGCGCCTTCAGCCCGCTGGCGGCAGCGGCCTCACCCAGGCTCGCCCTCCCTGCCCCCCCGACGGGAAACAGCTGGGCTTGCGGGCTTGCTGGGTGGTGCCCGTGGGCCGGGAGCAGGGCCTCCAGGGAACCTGCGGCTCGCCACGCAGCGCCCCGAACGAGCTTCTGTGGACGGTGACGCTCGCGGAGGGGCCCCGGGGGGAGCAAGTGAAGGAGGTGCTGGTGAACCGCATCTTGTGCCACCCCCAGGTGAGAGGGCAGCCCCCAGGCCCTCGGAGCTGGAACAGCATCTCCATCGCACACCTCGTTGACCCCGCGTCGCCCCTCTCCCCCTAGTTTGACCTGCGGACCTTTCACAACGACCTTGCCCTGGTGCAACTGTGGACGCCCGTGAGCCCGGGAGGGGCGGCGCGCCCCGTGTGTCTGCCCCAGGGACCCCGGGAGCCCGCTGCTGGCACCGCCTGCGCCATCGCAGGCTGGGGGGCCCTTTTCGAAGGTACCGGCAGGGCTGGACCCGCGAGGGTTTGCCCTGGGAGAATAGGGTCTGGGGTGATGAAGTCTGGGGAGTGTGTACCGAATCAGACCTACCCTAGCTGTCTTCGCAAAACACTGCCCGATCTTGCAAAAGGGGAGGAATCAAGGGGGTGCCATGGGAGGGGGGACCCTCAAAACGGAGCCCCTGCCCTCCAGGCTTGAGCCCACTCCTCCGCTTTCCTGTAGATGGGCCTGAGGCTGAGGCGCTGAGGGAGGCCCGTGTGCCCCTGCTCAGCGCAGACACTTGCCGAAGGGCCCTGGGCCCCGGGCTTCGCCCCAGCACCATGCTCTGTGCCGGTTACCTGGCGGGGGGCATCGACTCATGCCAGGTACGAGCCCCAGTTGATGGGAGGGCGCCGGTGGGCCGCTCTCTACTTTCCTTCTGCGGTCAGGCTGTCACTAATTTCTCTGAGCTTCTATGTCCTCGTGGCTGAAATGGGTACAAGAGTGGTAACCCCAGTTGAGTCAGAGCTGCCTAATCCTGCGGGTGTAAGGCTGCCAAGTGGGGTCGGAGCGAGGGGTTGATGCAGTGCCCTCTCTCTTGGCTCGGGTCCCCACAGGGAGACTCTGGAGGCCCCCTCACCTGTCCTGAGCCTGACCCCCGCCCCAGAGAGGTCCTGTATGGAATCACCTCCTGGGGGGACGGATGCGGGGAGCCAGGGAAGCCAGGGGTCTACACCCGCGTGGCCGTGTTCAGGGACTGGCTGCAGCAGCAGATGAGCGGTGAGTGCTGGATTCCTATTGTCCCCTCTGCAGAGTCCCGCCCACAGCTCTGGGACGAGCCCGAGCTCACGTCCTCCCCACGTGCCCCCAGCCCCCTTCGGCGTCGGGAAAGCCCCTCTCTGAGGCAGGACTTCGGGACGGGGGCCCAATACGGGGGGAGAGGGGCGGGGGGTGAACAAGCCCCCGCGGCGCTCCACAGCGGCCCCCTCCAGCCGCGAGCCCAGCTGCAGGGAGCTTCTGGCCTGGGAGCCGCCCGAGGAGCCACCGGCGGACGCCACCCCGCCCTGCGCCTTCTATGCCCGCCTGTGCCCAGGACCCAAGGGCGCCTGTGTGTCCCTAGCGCATCAGCAATGCCTGCAGCGCCGACGGCGATGCGGTCAGTCCGGTTCCCCGTGCTGGGCCGGGGAGCAGGGAGCCTCGCCCACGTCTGATCACCAACCGCACCCTTGTCCCGGCCGCAGAGCTGCGCTTGCTGGCGCACACGCTGCTGGAGCTGCTGCGGGGCGCCCAGGAGCTGTTCGGCCCGAGCCCGGGGATGCGGCGCCAGGCCCCGGCCCCGGCTCGCCCCGCTCCGTCGCTCCGGGAGACTCCCAGGCACCGCGCCCGCGAGCAGCGGCTGCACCCAGGTACCCCGAGCCCTGGCAGCCCAGCCCCGGCCCCACCCCTGGGCGGCAGAGGCTTTCGCCTAATCCTGCGTCTTCCCAGGATCCCCGGCTGCAGGGACCGGATTCCCGAAGCGGAGGCCAGAGCAGCGCGGAGACACGCGCGGTAATTACGCCCCCTGCCGACAGTCGCCCGGGGAGTAGGCCGAGAGCTGGCGGAGGCCGGGAGGGGATTCTCCTGGAATCTGCACCGGGAAGCAGTTCCCCCGCGGCAACCAGCAGACCCGCTCTACTCCTCCCCTGAAACAGGGGACTGACCCTTTGGGGCTACTTGTGGCTTTGTGCCCTCATCAGTGTCAGAAAATCGACTTTGTTATCACTTAACCTCTCTAAGCCTCAGTTTCCCCATCTGTAGCATGGAGGTGGTCCTGAGGTACTGGTGGGAACCCATGCCAGCTCCATGCTGGTGTCTCTCCTGCAGACTGCCCTGGCCTGGAGCCCCTGCGGCAGAAGTTGGCCACCCTCCAGGACACCCATGCCTGGATCCTTCAGGTCCCCCCAGAGCGCCTGGCCATGGACTTCCAGGAGGTAGTTCTCTAGGCTTCCCAGACTCCTCCACAGTGGCCTCTGAAGGCAGACCTGGGTCAGCTCTGGTAGGGGGACAGAACGGGATCCTCCCCAGCAGCAGGGAGGATCTTCACCCCCACAGCCTGGGGGGTCGGAATACAAGAGGAAGGTGGGGGGAGGGCAGCTGTGTGTGAGCTAGGGTACTGGGTGGGTATGAAGGTGTGGTGCGGAGAGGGAAGATGTAAGTAGAGGGGCTTAGGGGTGTCCATGTGAGCAGAAAGTGTGCAGGATTGTGGGGTTGAAAGGAAGGGGGTGGGTTTGGGTGAGAGTTTGGGGGGCCAGGAGGAGGGGACCAAGAGTAGCATTGGAACCCCTGAGCACCCTCCTCCCTCTGCAGGTCCTGGCTGATCTGAGCTCCAAGACGATAACAGGGCTCTTCCGAGCCTGGGTTCGAGCTGGCTTGGGGGACCAGCATGTGGTCTTCGGGGGCCTGGTGGGCCTGGAGCCAGCCACACTGGCTCGAAGCCTTCCACGGTTGCTGGCGCAGGCCCTGCAGGCCTTCCGCTTGGCTGCTCAGGCCAAGGCAGAGCCCCAGGGAGCCTGGATGGGCGCAAGGCAGAGCCAGGAGCTGGGGGGGAAGGGGCACCACCCACTGGGCCCTCAGGTTCCTCCAGCCAGACAGCCATGAGCCATGTCTAGACCCCCAGCCTCTGGTTAGGACCTACTGCTCCCAGGGCCTGGGAGGGTTCAGGGAGCACAATGACAAACTGTCACTGCTGCAGTTGCCCAGATGTGTGGGGGTCCTGGGCCCTGGGCCCCACGTGTCTTCCCAGATGTGTCATCAGAAAATCACAGTTGCTTTAATAAATGTTATTTATGATGTACGGAGACAATGCTGGAGCTTCTGTGGGATGGAAACTGGATGGGGGACATCAGCTCTCTGGGAGTGGGGCCCGTGCAGGGCAGGCCCAGCCTCCAGAAGCAGTTGGCAGAAGTCACAAAGACAGGGGACAGGGCTGCTAAGCCCCCATCTGAGCAGACCTGTCTGCCACTCAAGAAATGGCAGCTGATCTGCTTATCACCACTCCCTGATCCGTGGCTGACCAGCATTGTCCACGGTGTCCATTGCCTCCACCCAGCCCTCACCCCCATGGCTAGCTGTGGAGACTCCTAGCCTGGGATCTTTGCCTCATGTCCTTGGGCTTCTGCCCTGTTAGCCAGTTCCTATCCTCACCCCCTCATCACCTGCCCCGGGTTCTCGGCCCTACAGCAGAGCACAGAGGTATCAGATTGCATTTCCGGCTGCCTTTTTCCTCAGCTCCTCCACCCCTACTCTGCACCTGTCCCCTCTGCCACTCACCCACATTCCCCAGCCCAGTGGACAGGAGGAGCAGATGCAAGACCTACTTGGTGAGACAGGATGGAGGGGCCTGTGTTAACGCTGGGACTGCTGGCCACCCTGGTTGTGTGTGGTAAGATTGGACATCATCCCACCCACCCAGCTCCCCCACAGCACAGGGCCCTCCTGTCCCTCCCCCAGCCTCACGGCCCCCTCCCCACTCCCACTGCCATTTCTCCCTGGAGGACCGACCACCAGGGCCCTGCTCCTGGGCCCCTGCCCAGCACCCGTCCTGTCCCCAACTATCCCCAGGCTGCTGGGGTCTAAATGAGGAGGAGCGGCTGATCCGGTACCTGTTTAAGGAGAAGGGCTACAACAAGGAGCTCCGGCCTGTGGCTCACAAAGAGGACAGCGTGGACGTCTCACTGGCCCTCACCCTCTCCAACCTCATTTCTCTGGTGAGTGGCCTCCCCATGGCTTGGCTGGGGACTGGAGGGCAGGGACAGTTTCCTTGAGGTCTGGCTCTCTCCCGGACTGGGATGGCCACGAGGGAAGCTCAAGGCCGAGGGCCGGCCTGTAGCAGCTCCTCTCTCTGTGCCCTGTGCTGCGCCCAGACCCTCAGGCTAATACGCTCCCTTCCAGCTGTCATTCTGGGATGTCCCCCATATCACACCCGAGACACACTTCAGAAGCTTTGTGTCCTCCCTGCTCCCTGGCCTGCCCACCCACTCCTGAGTGTTTGGGGTAGGAGTTTGGTCAGGCCAATTGCCATGGATTCCCCTGGGTGGCAGCCAGGAGGAGATGCCTGGTGAATGCGCACAGCTGAAAGAATGGTGCAGGACCCTGGGGACAGCCCTCCTGTTTTCTTACAGAAAGAAGTCGAGGAGACTCTCACCACTAACGTGTGGATGGAGCACGTAAGAACACCCCACGCAGAGCAGGGCTCGGTGAGGTGAAGGGCCTAGGCTCCCCTGTGCCCGCTTCTGCTCGGGAATCCCCAGCCTGCCTCAGACATTTTCCTGCGGGAGACACTGGCTTCTGCCTGCAGAGAAACCCCAGCCAGCTGCCCTTGCCCACCTAGTGCAGCCACCAGCCCAGACAGGGCCTTTGGGCGGATTGGGATTCTTCATCTGTGGGAAATTGTCACAGTATCCTGATTTTATTAGAAAACACCCTCTGCCACCTGCCAGAAGTTCATAACATTGACATACACCTTCTACATCCACAATGGAAATACTGTTCCTTTAGTTGTGTAGTGTGCATCCTACACAGCCCTGCATGACAGACCCGAGTCCCCACTCCATACCCACCTCCCCAAACCTCTTTTGTCACAGCCCTAGACCCTGCCCTGTCTTCCCTCAGGGAAGTTGGGGGGAGTGAAGGGGCCAGGACAATAGCAGAACCCACCTCTGACATTCCTGTCCACCTTCAGGGCTGGACGGACAGCCGGCTGCAGTGGGATGTCAAGGATTTTGGGAACATCAGCGTCCTGCGCCTGCCCCCTGACATGCTGTGGCTCCCAGAGATTGTGCTGGAGAACAAGTTGAGCCGCAGCCCTCCCTGGCCTCCCCTCATCACTCGACCCCCTTCCTTAAATATCCTGAGCCTCCCCCTCCAGCCCCAACCTGCCCCCCCTCCTCTGCTTCCCCCAACCCTGCCCTTTGGAAGCTGGCCCATGCTCACTGTGGCCCTTGTCCCTGTCCCCCAGCAATGACGGCTCCTTCAAGATTTCCTACTCCTGCAACGTGCTGATCTATCCATCAGGCTATGTGTACTGGCTGCCACCTGCCATCTTCCGCTCTTCCTGTCCCATCTCCGTCACTTACTTCCCCTTTGACTGGCAGAACTGCTCCCTCAAGTTCAGGTGCACCCACTGCTCCAACCACCCCTCCCCCCAGGACACCCTGCCAGGGGCCACCTTCAGACAGAGGCTTCTGGTCTGTCCAGATTAGAGCTCCCCTCCCCCCCAGTGGCCTCTCTGACCATGCGGCATTTCTCCAGCCAGTGGCTGAGAACTACCCTCTACCACTGCCCTCTCCAGTTCGCTCAAGTACACGGCCAAGGAGATCACCCTGAGCCTGAAGCAGGAAGAAGAAGATGGCCGCTCATACCCGGTGGAGTGGATCATCATCGACCCTGAGGGCTTCACAGGTGCTGGGAGCAGCAGCTGGTGGGTGGGCAGATGGGCAGGCCTCTCAGGACCTCCCCCACAGACACACATACAGTCACACCGACACCCCCAAGACGCACGTCTGTGCACCCACACCTGACACACACACTCACATGACACTAATCCAGCACGCTGAGAGGAAACGAAGTGTGGCTGGGGGACTGTGTTCCCAAGGCAGAGTCAGAGGAGCACCGTGCCCCACCCCCGCCTCTGCCCAGGCCAGAAGACCCTCTGCGTCTGAGCAGGTCCCTGGGGATGGATGTGGCTGACAGGTGAGGGGGTGCTTAGTCTTTCTGTCCCTCAGATTTTTTTATGTATATATATATTAATTATATATATATTAATTATCATATATTAATTATATATTAATTATTGATTTCAGAGAGGAAGGGAGAGGGAGAGAGAAATAGAAACATCAATGATGATAGAGAATCACTGATTGGCTGCCTCCTGCATGCCCCCTACCGGGGATCAAGTCCGCGCAACCCAGGCATGTGCCCTTGACCAGAATCAAACCTGGGACCTTTCAGTCCACAGGCCAATGCTCTATCCATACAGCCAAACCAGCTAGGGCCAGGCTCAGATCTTTTATGGGGTCACCCCTGTCCATCAGAGGAGACCCACGTCCTGCTGATCCATCACACTTTGGGGGAGGGGGTTCTTACTCTCACTGCCTTGTTATCCCCAAGACTCCATATTTGAGCCACATATGGCCTTAGCTTTCATGTTTTCCAAAGAGAAAAAACAAACAAAACAAAAAAACTGATCCCAGAGGAAAATTTCTCCCTTGCAGATGGAAACCTCCATCCCAATCCCCAGGGAAAGACCCACAAACAAAACCTGAGCCCTCCTCTGAATGCCCCCCTCAGAGCCCTGCAGACAGGCCTGGCTGCCCCTGGGGATGGCTCACTCCACCAGTCCCTCATCCTGCCCCGAGGCCCCCCTTAGCTCCCTTGCCCAGACTGACTCCACGGTGTCCGTGTGCTGCCCTCAGAGAACGGGGAGTGGGAGATAGTGCACCGGCCAGCCAGGATCAACATGGACCCCAGTGCCCCGCTGGACAGTCCCAACCACCAGGACATTACCTTCTACCTCATCATTCGCCGAAAGCCACTCTTCTACATCATCAACATCCTGGTGCCCTGCGTGCTCATCTCCTTCATGATCAACCTGGTCTTCTACCTGCCAGCCGACTGTGAGCCTCTCACCTGGCCTCAGTGCTGGCCCAGCTCCCAGGCTGCCTAGGCAGCCTCTTCCCACCCCCAAGGTCACCAGAGCAATGACCACCTAGCCCAGCCTCTCACTTCCTCCTGGGAGCTCCCTGGGGGTCACCACTGCCCAGGGTCCAGCATGAGGGGCTTGTTGCCAGCCAGAGGGGGGGGGCTCTTTGACCCTGTCCTACATCCCCCAAATGAACAGGGTCCCTCCTGTACCCCCCTTCTCCCTCTCACTTTCCAAGGACCTAGACTGCCTCTCAGCCAGAGCAGGAGTCAGGTCAGTCGTGGTCACCATGTGTGGCTGTGGGTCTGGCACACAGGAGGCCATCAGTAGTTGAGTCAATGGGGGTGGGGGTCATAGGAGCTCTAGAGAACCAGGGTATGGAGATACGCACCCCCCTCTTACCAGTTCTAGAAGGGCACGTGTCACCTACACTTACTCAGCTCTGGACTATTTACTATGAACAGGCACAGCGAGTCCCAGAGACAAATGCCACCCAGCCCTGCCCCTGTTTGAGACAGGGTGAGCGGTGCATTGCACGTAGAAAAAGGGTGCTAGGGCAGGGCCCTGGACCCGTGACCACAGTGGCCACCACATGGTTTGCTCAGGGCCTGGCTAGGAGTTGGGGTATTACTCTGGTACTGTCTGTGCAGGAGGGACACAGATCTGCTATTTAGGAGGGCTGAGTGGCAGGGCATTGGCCAATGGTGACAGCTGGTGTTTGAGGTCTTACTCAGTTCCAGGAGGAGTGACCAGCATTTAATATACTCTCCCACTTGGTCCTCTCAACATCTAACAGTTGAGAAAACTGAGGCACAGAGAGGTTAGGCTACAAACCCAGGGTCACCCAGCCAGTAAGTGTCAGAGCCGGAATTTGATTCCAGTCACTTTAGCTCCAAAGCCTATTATGCTAATTAGGCCACCATGGTATTGTGAACAATGGTGCGAGGTCCACAGTGGGATCCTCTGGGACCAGCGGTCACGGCTAAGTCCAGGCTCCCTCAGGTGGAGAGAAGACGTCAATGGCAATCTCAGTGTTGCTGGCACAGTCTGTCTTCCTGCTCCTCATCTCCAAGCGGCTGCCGGCCACATCCATAGCCATCCCCCTCATCGGCAAGTATGTAACCCCCTTCCTCCCCACCACACCCCACCTCGCCTCACCCCACCACGCCACGCCATGCCCCACATCACCCTGACATGCCATGCCATGTCCTGCCACACCCTGGATGCTCCAGGCTGAGTGTGTGCCCACAGGTTCCTGCTCTTTGGCATGATACTGGTGGCCATGGTCGTGGTGATCTGTGTCATCGTGCTCAACATCCACTTCCGCACGCCCAGCACCCACGTGCTGTCCGAGGGGGTCAAGAAGGTGAGGGCTGCCAATAGCCCACCGGTCCCCCTACAGGTGTCTGGGCAAAAACACTGAGCTATTTCATGCGGGAGAGTGCTCCCTGCAGTACAAATGCACCAACTGCTGCTACGCACGCCAGCCGGCGTGGACAACTCTCCCAGGTGTACTGTTACCTGTAGGAAGCCAGGCACAAAAGAGCACAGACTGCACAATTTATTTTGCATGAAGTTCAAGGGCAGGCAAAACCAAATGCTAGAGGTAGAAGTCAGGATGGTGGTTCCCTCTGGGGGTGAGAAGGAATTGATGTGGGGAGGCAGAGGGAACCTTTTGGGGATAATGTTTGATAGCTTATCTGGGTGGTGTTTGACACAATTGAGTGCATCTATAAAATTCCACCTGGTACTTCGTGGCAGTCAGAAATGGAGTCACGGGTGTTTGGATGTGTGAAGGTAACCCGTGTTGGTTAAATGGCCTTCCTGTGTCCCCCTGATCTGCCACAGCTTTTCCTAGAGACCCTGCCCAAGTTCCTACACATGTCCGTCCCAGAGGAGGACAGCCCCGGCCCTGGGGCCCTGGTCCGGAGGAGCAGCTCCCTGGGTTACATCTCCAAGGCCGAGGAGTACTTCTCGCTCAAGTCCCGAAGTGACCTCATGTTCGAGAAGCAGTCAGAGCGGCACGGGCTGGCCCGGCGCCTCACCACAGCACGTGGGTCCCGGTGGCTCGGGGTTGGGCCCCAACGTGGGAGGTGGGGGAGTGGGGGGTGGGCTTCATGCCTGCCTCGGATCTGTCCCCTCAGGCCAGCCCCCTGCAGGCTCTGAGCAGGCCCAGCATGACCTCTTCAGTGAGCTGAAGCCAGCTGTGGAGGGGGCCAACTTCATCGTCAACCATATGAGGGATCAGAACAACTACAATGAGGTGAGTGGCCGCAGGGCCGCATGCACAGGTGTTCACATTGTGTGCTGGTCAAGGGTAGCCTATCTCAAGGGGCCACAGTTCCCCTCAGAGACACATGCCCACTTAGATGAAGAAGTTGACAATGGATGCAAAACCCAGGCCCCCCAGAGATGGGAGGCCCCTGCCTAGAACCCCATCACAGCTCATTGGGCCAGGCACACACTCAGGTGTATGCACAGGCACATGTCTTCACATTCTGGACATCCTTTAGGGTCCCTTCTTTCTCCCAGCTGCCAATTTCTGGCACACACTCATTTTCTCTCCCTGCTCAATTCCCAAGCCTGATACTACAGACACAGCCAGACATTTAAAAGGCAGCCTTCTATGGTTGTTCCATATAACACAACTTTCTAAAATTTTCTCTTGAGAAAAGGGTGCCATGTTCCAGTTCCCATGGGGGCTACCAGCAGCACTGAGTGGCTGGGATGAAGACTGTGGCCCCACTCTTAGTCTCCTGGACTGACAGAATGACCAACCTGCCTGTGGCCAGAGTAGGGCCTGGGCCTTGGGGACATGCAGAAGGCCCCCCCTCTGCTGTGAACCCGAGGTGGCTCCCACTGACACCCGTCTGTCACTGGGCGCCTGCTTGGGGCATGGGCCTGTGGTCTGCGGGCCCTCCTCATCCTACTGTCTCTGCACCCCTCCCTGTCCCCAGGAGAAGGACTGCTGGAACCGGATAGCCCGCACAGTAGACCAACTCTGCCTGTTTGTGGTGACGCCCATCATGGTGGTGGGCACGGCCTGGATCTTCCTGCAGGGCGCCTACAACCAGCCCCCATCCAAGCCTTTCCCCGGGGACCCCTTCTCCTACCTGGAGCAAGACAAGCGTTTCATCTAAAGGGCTTCCCTGCCTGGGTTGGCCCAGCTCCCCAGGCAGCTTCGGTGGGGCTTTGTGCCTGAAAGGGATGGGCCTTCAGGGGTGGCAGTAGCTGTGTGGACAGGGGCGCCTGAGAAAGGACAAGCTCCTCTTAGGGAGGCGACTCCTGGCCCTGAGACTTGAGCCAAGTTGGTTCTGCACGGCTGAGGTGGAAATGAGCTGTGCCTCCTGAGACAAGGAAAGGCGAAGCCCCACTCCTCAATAAAGACAGGAGCCACTGAGAAGGTCTGAGAGTGGACACTGACTGGTGGGTGGGTCAGGACGACTTTTGGGGAGATAGGGGCCTGACTCAAGGGCCAGGGAAAATGTCATTCAGGCTGGCCTTTTGGGACCCTTCTGTGAGAAAGACAGTGGCCTCTTCTTGCCTCCCCTTCCTCTAGGTGGGGGTAGAGCAGGTGGGCTCCTGTGCCCTCACTTCCTGGTTCCTGCAGCTGTCAACCCCTCATCCTTGGCTTCTGAGGCCCCCCAGAGCCTCCTTTTCCAGACCCGTTAGGGAAGGAGGTTTTGGGCAGAGGTGGGAGCACCAATGTTTCAGAATGTCCTTCCCAGTTCTTTCTGCTTTGGCCATTCTGTCTGGGTCCCTGTGGGGAGCTGAGGACTCGGGTAGGAGAATTGGACCCAGCAGCTACAGAGGCCAGAGGTCAGCCCATCAACCTCAGCTCACATGAGCTACCCTAGGGCCCCAGATCTCAGCCCTCCCCCAGAGTATCCCCTTATGGTCACCTATTCCTCTCCTCCAAAGTAGGGTTGCCTGGCAAAACTAAAAAATTATTCATATTTATCTGAAATTCAAATTTAACTGTACATTTTATATATTTACTAGAGGCCCGGTGCACGAAATTCATGCATGGGGCAAGGGGTGTCTCTCAGCCCGGCCTGCACCCTCTCCAATCTGGAACATTCCCCCTCACAATCCGGGACTGCTGGCTCCTAACCATTCGCCTGCCTGCCTGTCTGATTGCCCCTAACCTCTTCTGCCTGCCAGCCTGATCGCCCCCGACTGCCCTCCCCTGCCAACCTGGTCGCCCCCAACTGCCCTCCCCTGCAGGCCTGTTCGCCCCCAACTGCCCTCCCCTGCTGGCCATCTTGTGATGACATGAGGGTGTCGTGTGAGGGCACGAGGACCACCTAGGCTTTTATTAGTATAGATTTGCTAAATCTGGCAACTTTACCCCAAAGGGAACTTCCATCAATCTTATCCTAAGGGCCAAAGGCTGAAACTGGAAGAGCTGGAGGAGGTTCTGTGAGGTACCCCACCTCCAGGACGGCCCCAGTGATCCCCACCTCCTGTCCTCATACCCCCATGTAGCGCCATACCAGGGTTGGTCTGGGTGACCCATAGAATGAGGCAGGAGTGATGGCATGTCACTTCCGAGGTTAGGTTATGGAAGACATCAAAGTGCCCCCACCTCGCCCTGCTCTTGTCCCGCTCCTTCACTCTCACTCTCACTCTCACTCTCACATGGGGAAACCAGGAGGCATGATGAGCACCCTATGGAGAGGCACACGGCAAGGAACTGAGGCCTCCTGCCAACGGCCGGCCACTGGGTGAACTTGGAAGTGGGTCCTCCAGCCCCAGTAGGACCTTGGACAAGATCACACGCCCCACGACAACCCCTGAGCCAGAGCCACCCAGCGGAGGTGCTCCTGGTTCCTGACCCCCAGAAGCTGTGGGAGACAATAAAAGTTTGTTGCTTTAAGAGACAAAGCTTTGCGTAGTTTGGAGCTGTGGGACCTTGGACGAGCTACTCTTTGTGTCTCAGCTTTAGTTTTCTCATCTGCAAAATACGCATAAAATAAGACCCGTTCACGGGATGTTGTGAAAATGAGAATTGCTACATGTGTCCCACAAATTAAGAGGTGGTTGTTTATCTCGTTTCTCATTGGGGGGCCTCAGTCACCGAGGATGGGCCCCTCTTGTGAGGTCTTCTACATCCAAGCCTGGTGTGGTGGCTGAGAACTGGAGCAGGTGCCGATGGCCCTATTACTCACCTCCTGAGGTCCAGGCTTCAGGTCTTCACAGCTCACCCCATTTCCCTCAGAAGGTGTCTATAGCCTCGTGAGCTCAGCTGTATAGAAGGTGACATGTTTAGTTTTTCAATGGAACTGAGGGAAAATACCAAAACTGACCCTACTTCTGCCTTCCAATATAAATCATCTACAAATTCAAGGTACACATTTTTAATTCCCTTTGAATAGGGAAACTAGCTTGGACTTACACCTGTCGATGAGCAGGAGACCAGTCCCTGGAATAGTCCACCACTTCGGTCCACCAACTCCCAGAGGGTCCCTATTTCTAACACAGAGAAGGGGCCTGGATTAGATTCCTCGGCCAGTCGTTGCTTCTCTCTGCCACACGATGGTGCTGTTGGCAGCGGGTCTTACACATCCCAATCAACAGGTGAACCAGTGGTGTCAGGCCTAGCTCAGGTAGCTGTGAGCCTTCCAGAAAAGACAACTCCAAATGCCACACCCAATCCAAACTGCCTGTTGTACAGGTTCCCAGAACCACAGAGGGTCCCCCAACAGCACCCACTCCCCCAGCACTCCAGCTCCAGGTGCTGTCAGGACTGGTCCACTCTCTGGGTGGCATGGAACTCTATCATCTTCCCCCCATAGGAAGTCACACCCACAGGGGCCAGCTGTCCATGAAGCCAGAGCTGTCCCTACACATCTCCCCAGGCCAGCTGGGCTACCCCCCCTCTTTCAAAGGGTGATGACTCCATTAGGAATACAAGGAACAGAAAACCCCAAGAGTCATGGCTTAAAGAAGTAAGGTTTCCTCTTTCTCACATAATAAGAATCGCAGGGCCGTGGTTGCATCGTTGCTTCAGCTGTCCCACAAAGCTCTCAGGGACCCAGGCTTGTTGCCCCAGGTTGCAAGCTGACTGCCACAGCTCCGCACTGCCCATCTGTGTTCAAGGCAGGAAAGGGGCCAGCCATTTCTGACCCCTTTTATCAGGAAGCAAAAGCTTCCCTGAAGCCCCTCAGCCAACTTCTGCAGACATACCATTAGTTATCACATGGCCACTCTTAGCTACAAAGGAGCCTGGGAAATGAACATTTCACTTTGCCGGCCTCTAGAGTAGAAGGTGGTGATGGAGTAGTTGTTAGACAATAAATGACGCCTACAGAAGATTTTCTCTTGATGGGTCCCAGACCTTCCCTTTAACCCCTCCAGGCCAGAAACTGCCACTCCTCAAAGGCAATGTACCCTCCCTAGAACCAAGGAGACTTCTCAGCCACTCTCTCAGAGCAGAGAGGAGAAAACAGGAGTTTAAAGCTTCATACATAGGGAGGTGGCATAATTCAAAGCAGAGGGAACCCAGTCTCCATCTTCTCCCTTTTCCCTCCCTCCCAAACACTGTGGGGATAGAAGAAGGCAAAGTGAAAAATGCTGAAGCATCAGTTGAACCACTTGTGCCTGGACCTATGCCTGGGAGGGTGGTATCGGGAAAGGAAGAGAGATAGGTGGCCAGCTGTCCATGAAGCCAGGCCATGAGCAGAAGCCATGAATGATCTTTGGCAAAGTGTGGTTTTAGAGGGAAGAGCTATTGCTCTGCAAAATGGGTCAGGCAATTGAGTCTGGGGGCACCAGAGGGCAGAGTAGGAAGAGGAGGCATTGGTTTTGTAAACTCCAGAGAAAGTAGCCCTAGGTGCATGGGGAGATCAAAGCTTGGGGTGGGGGTGCTGTCAAGGAAAATCACGTGTGGGGCCCAGAGCAGGACTGAATGCAAGGAGGGCAGCCGAGCCACCCACATAACACAGAACAAGCAGATGTCCAGGGAGGCAGCTGCTACCACTACCGCCTCCCCTCCTCTAAGTCCTTGTGAGGGCAGGAGGAGCTGTGGCCCTGCTACGGCGGCTGGGATCTGAGCCAGCCTCTCATTTGGATCGCCAAGGACAGGGCATGTCAGATGACTTCCGGTTTACTGACACACATTGAAAAGCCACAGACTGCCCTACCTGGTTTGGCTCAGCGGATAGAGCGCCGGCCTGCGGACTGAAAGGTCCTGGGTTCAATTCCAGTCAAGGGCACATGCCTGGGTTGTGGGCTCAATCCCCAGAATGGGGCAGCCAATTGATGGTTCTCTCTCATCATTGATGTTTCTATCTCTCCCTCTCCCTTACTCTCTGAAACCAATAAAAAATATTTTTTAAAAAAGAAAAGCCACAGACATCATTCATTTGTGGGGTGGGGACATGTTCTCAAATGGTGCTTTCCTCCAGACCTCAGAGGCATCTGCCACCCTGCCCCCTGAGGTGCTGATGGGTGGGTGGCATGAACGGGAAACTGAATTTTCTGCCTTGCCCATGAACTGGGACAGGCTGACCTGTCTGCTTGGAATAGATGGTCAGAAGACAGGTGGCCTGAGCCTGTGTTACAGCCATCGGCTTCCAGATCAGCTTCGCCCCACCCTTCCTGTGACCACAAACCATGAAGTGGATGGAGCTTCTTTTCCAGCCCTTCTAGGTTCCCTTATCCGACTCTCAGGGAGCACAACTTCTTGTCCCATGGACTGTGAGCTTCTGCGAGCAGCTCCCATGTATCCCGAGTCCCCCAAGCCTAGAGCTGTGCCTACCATAAGCCTACAGATGATTTAATAAATACTGAGGAACCCCTATTGAAGGCCTGTACTATTCACAAGAGCCCCAAGTTTCAGATCTTTCTCAGCCCTCCTTCCTACAAAGCTTACCAGGCTGGGACCCATGCCTCAGAGACAGGAAGGATCCTGACCTGACACCCTGATTTGTGTTAAGGTGTCAGAGCCTGGGGCACATCATGCATCTTTCTTGTAGGCGTTGTGCCTTCTGGTGTCTTGGCCCAGTGGAGTGATCCATTAAGATGTCAGGCTGGTGGGAGAGGTTTGGGGTCCTCAGCCATGTCATAGAGAAAGTCGGGTACAAAGCTTGCCTAACCAAAAGTCTTCACACTTCCCCAAATCCTGACATGCTGGAGGCAGCAGGAGCAGGGACTCTTCCTAAGCACTCTGCCTTCTCTCCCACACCCACGAGGCCCTGGCTGCATCCTCAGCTTCCCCGCTGGACATGAATCTGGGACAACTGAGCCTGAGGGGGGATGGAGGCTGGACCATCTCTGTTGGGACTGACGGGCCCCTCTGTCCCCTCCCCAACCCAGGTAACCCGAGCCTGGCATTTTGTCCATCCTAGAACAGCTGACAGTGCTGTGGTCAGACAGCTGTGGGGCTGGGCCAGCCTGGCCGGGCTGACTGGGGTGGGAGTGTGGGCTGTTACATGAGACCAGAGTCTGCATCTCTCGGCCTCAGACCTGGGAGCTGCCGTCCCACTCCTGTCCCCTTGGAGAGCTGTGACACCATGCACGGGGGTCAGGGGCAGCTGTTCCTCCTGCTGCTGCTGCTGGCTATCTGCCTGGGTGTGGACACAGGGGCTTGGGGCCCGGGGAAGACCGGAGCAGGGGACCAAGGCCTCAGGAGACAGAGGGACTGGAGGGCTATTGGCGCCTGCCCCCAACCCAGCTCTCTGCCTTTCCATGTCACATCCTCTCATGGCCTTCCCCTCTTTCTGCCCCGAAGTTCCTGCGCCCAGGCTTACCGCTGTCTGTTTCAGGAGCCCAGGGCCGGAACCAGGAGGAGCGTCTGCTGGCCGACCTGATGCACAGCTACAACCCCCACCTGCGGCCTGCTGAGCGGGATGCGGACGTGGTCAACGTAAGCCTGAAGCTCACCCTCACCAACCTCATCTCCCTGGTGAGTTACGGGCTTGTAGGGTGACAGGGAGGAGGGACCAGGGACCTGCTAGGGAGAAGAAGGTGCTAGAACACTCCCATGGAGACTGCCCAAGAGGCTGGGGTCCTTGGGGGACCCAACAATGGCCTGTAGGGA